CACACACAGACACACACACCCGCGCACAATCACGCACAATCACCATCAATCACCTCTCAGCAGATTGACCGTCAAACTGAAGTCCTTTTGGACAAATCCAGCGCTGAACGACTTCTCGACACTCAGGCCTGGGCCTACGCCTCACCTCGCTCTTCCCTGTAACTTCCCTCTGCAATCATGCGCAAATGCTGGATCGACGAAACCGGAGGTGTGTGCCAAGCGACGCCTCCGTTCTGCTTGTGGTTGTACAAGGCGTTGGAGCTCGTGTTCCACCTCAGACGGCTTTCTGAAAGACAAAGCGTCACACATCTAGGAAGTTCTGCGGAGGTGCCCAATTGGACCGTAGAAGCGATCCATAGAATTGAAGAACCCATCATCCGGACCCCAGCGCCACCATGTGCTCCAGAAGACGGGGAGCCCTGCCTCGGTACTTTTCTGGGCACCTCTCTGAAGTCTACGACGTATCTACGATCCTTCGCCTCCCTTCCCTTTCGCCTCGCGGAAGGCGTCCAAGAGCAACTTCACTTGCGGGACAATTCCATGGACATAGTCCACATACTCCACCTGCATGCCCAATCTGCCCACTTCCTGTCACATCTTCTAACAACACTTTTCCTGGCCTGCATATCATCTATAAGCAGTGCTGGTGTGCGCTTGCGGTCGGTCAGTTCGTAGGCGCACCAGAAGTCGGTGAGAAGTGGGAACTGCAGCGGATTCGACTGAACGGTCGCTGTGATGCCCTCCACCTGCGGACATCTCCATGTCTATCATTTACGGATCGCTGACAGTCCATTCCAGGTCATGTCATGCACCACAACCTCGCGGCAACTTGCACTAGTCGCTGCGATTCCAATCACGGGGATGTCGCAAGGGTGGTGGAATGCAGCTAACGTCACTCGCAACTGTACTTTACTGGCCGAGACTCGGAATTTGCCGTGGCCGCTGCAATCTTATCAAATTTCTTCTTTCCACTGTCAGCTATCGAAGGCAACGGTTGCTCACCAGGCGAAAGCTTGCCCAAAGCACAGGCCGCAAAGGAAACGAAGAGACAGCGGAAGGAAGCCATGACCCGGCTGCAGCACGAGCAGTGTCGGGTTGCCTGCAATGGAGCCAATATGCTGCCAGTGGCCCTCATAGGTCCCAAGATACGGCATTTATTTCTTGAATGAAGATTGCCGACTAGTGCTGTGTGACATGAGCTGCCTCTGCCGTTTCTTCCTTCTTCGATGCCTTTCATGGCAAAGTGAATCTCTCCGATCGCATCATGCATCTCGTATCTATCTTAGTACAAGTAGGAATCTTGGAAGACTGCGCGAGATGAAGCAACGACGACGCGGTGCGAGGAAGAGGAAGAGTTGATACTTCGCACACTGGACTTGAAACTTTTAAATGGATGAGGAGTCTGCTGCACTGGCAGTCACTTGCACCTCCTGGATGTCGGGTGTCTGTTTTAACCTCTTCGTTTCTGCCTGCGTCGGGTGCACGTAACGACACATTGTCTGCACGTGGTCTGTAAAGTAAACTAGATACACACAAGCATCCCTCCCAGGCCGCCTCTATGTCTGCTGCAGGTCGCTTGCATTCCTGAAGCATTAGGCAAAGCGCGTCAAGCGGATTTGAAAGGAAGGCATCACGTCACAAACGTTTGCCTTGGCACTCGACTTTGGTGCTTTTGGTGTCTTATCGGCTGCTTTTTGGGCCTTGTCTTTTGTATCCTGTAGCGGGCAAGTGGCCAGGAAATTTCGTCATGAACCTGACCCCGTGCCTTTTTGGGCTGCTTGCTAACCTTTTTTGCCTCCTGCATGGCTGAACATGTCGCGACGCAGGGTATGTCATTTTGCTGTTATACCAGTGAATTCTGGCCCCGTCATTGTGGACCACGACCAATGTTTGGCATAATTCTCAGTTCAAACCTTCAAGTCAGCACACGTCCTTTAGAAGTTGGTGCTCAAGAAAGGGCCTTACATCCTCTCATTGTGGCAAAATGCCAATCCGGACACTGCGAATTACAACTTCAATTGTAACTGCTTGGGCAGGAATTGCTAGTTCAGGCACGTTAACCTCAGCGCACAGGATTTGGAAACGCACTGTCGCTAAAACATTTCTCACCTCCTTGCTCTCGCCATCCTTCTGGCGTGGCGCCTGCATCTACTTTGACAAAGCTTCGTCATGCGTCGGGATCAATCAGGAGGGATGCTTGCTCCTCAGCTTGCTTCTTGTGCGCAGGACCGCTGCTGCCATCGTTGACCTGGCGCAGCCGCACAAGCGACGTGGACCGCTCCGATCTTGGCAACAACGGATAAAGGATTATGGGACCTGACGCTTGGTGGTTTTGGTCACGGCGGCCTGCCAAGCTTGCCGTTGCTTCTTTCACCGGATCTTCAAGACGCTCAACATGCATCAACCGTGCTTGCAGGGTGCGATCGATGAACTCTGCAAACTTGTTTGCTTGGGGTCCCCGTGCCTGTGCTTCGCCTTCGGAAGCCTTGCCATCTTTGACGTCCTTGCATCTCTTAGAGAAGGCATACATCCAGAATGCAGCTTTTGCTGGTGCTCAATATGCAGATCCGGCCTTCACGGTTGCTGCTTTCTGCTCCTTGTCTTTCAACCATTGCTTCAAGATCTCAAGATCTTTTGTAAGGTCCTGCTCAGTGCGGCTCTCGGCAAGGAGTACACGAACTCTGCCCACTGCATCGCACAGCCTTCTTGCGGTCTGGATTTTTCTCCTGTCAACATGTGCGCCACGCTTTGCACGTCACCGCAGTGCGCAGCATCTCGAACACTCGTTTCGGACATGGACATCCACAAACCATGCATGTTTTCAACGATGCCTGGGACCTACCAGAAACCACAATGCAATAATCCTCGGCCATCTCCTGCTGCTTTTCGACCTGGGAAACTCACAGTGAAACAAGCGGCCACCTCTTTCTCAGGCCAGGGCAAGCATCTCTCGCAAGTTCTCGATTTCATCAACCTGAACATACTTGTCAGCATGTTGCGCTTCTGATTTCCCATCCTCATCGCCTACCGCGAAACTTCGACAAGTGTTGTTTCTTCATGCCTGTGGCGCCTTCGCCGCTTTGGGTGTAGCAGGACGCTGCCTAGGTTGGCACCATTGCGTGCTCATCAGCAACAACCGACCAAACACGCTAACGCAGCATCTTTTCTGGGAGTGATGACGGCAATGCAGTCGTCTTGCTCGGTCCTTTTTTCTCCTCCGGAATCAAAGCCGGCGGCATGGCAGACCAGCTGCACACCAAAATGCCTTCGCATCCGGCCGCGAAGACTTGCCTTCCATGGGCCGATCGGCATCGACAACGTGACACCTTCGCACAACATGCCCGAACAGTCCTCCGTTCTGGTTGGCGACGGCAGTTTGCAACTTTCGCCTCCCCAACGATATCTTGTGACAACTGCACTGGTGCATCCCACGACGCCTAAACGCAAAGACGGTATGGGAATGAGGCTTCGCCGACCTCAAAGTCGATGAATTGCTGGATGTTGCATAGCTTGAATAACTGGATGGCGAATCCGACCTTCGAACCAAACTTTTCCGCTATGCAGTAAGCCAATGTTGACCGCTGTCCGCCAAGACTTTCTGGCTTGCAAGCCTCGCATGTGGCATCACTACCGCCGCTGCCGCTGCTCAGCAAACAGCGGCATGATTCTTCGAACACGGCAGCTCAACACGAATCGAACAATACACTAGGTTGGGCGCGTGCCACCTGACTACAGATTGCCAATTTCCAAGAAAGGACGGTTGCAGGAAACACGACTGTCCAATAAACCATTCCTTGGCATGCTGGATGCATGGTAACATGAACGAGCCACAACCAACCAAATTCGAAAGATCCTCCCTCCACGGCAACATGCAACCACATGACACACATCTTTGCAAGCTCGCTGCGGGGCATGCGTTACACGTTGCCTGGACCATGGCTACTGGAACCTACCATGCGATCTCCGATCGCTGCAATTTCTGTTGCATGTTGTTTGCGAGCAACAACCTCGAAGGAACCCGTTTGTATTTTACCGAATCGGTTGGAAGTGACGACAACTTAGTGTACGGGGATGTCCGGGGCGGCCGACAGCCGCCATCCAACGGCATTTGCTCACGAAATGAGGCTGGGCCTACTCTGCGGGATTCGTCGCTTCTCTGGTCTGTGATAGGATTGCCCCCCCAGCTTCCCCCAGCCGAAGGACAAGAATAAGCTGAAGCTGGGGGCAGCGAGGTCCGGCGATGTCTGTCGCCGCGGCATGCAACCGACACTGCCCTAGCGGCATGCAGCCGGACTGCTGGGTGTCAACCATGCTTGAGGACCGGCCTGCGATCCAAGTAGGGTGCAAGCGGCTGACGACAAGGAGGGCGACAATGTGTGGTCGCACAAAGTCTTGCCTGCAGGCTTAGTGGCATGCTTCGCCGTGACATGCCGTGACAGAATTTTCGGGCCTCGACTGTGCCCTGGAGGCTGGGTGCAGGCGGGCATGCGCACGCATACATCAATGAAAGATGCGGCCGGTGTTGCGCGAGCAGCAAATGTGAAAAAAACAGGCCTCCGAGGGCTGCCCGGGTTGCCATGCCTTCCATGCGCACATCTGTGCGTGTGTGTGTAACGTTTTTTTTTTCGCACGGACTTTTCGAGCTGCCCGTGGCAACTCCACCGAGCAAAGCTCCAGCGGTTCCCATATCGCCGCGTCATAACTCGAGGCGGTGGCACGGTGTGCAGCGCATGGTTGGCGAGGGGGGCCACCTTGCTCGCAATCTTCGCCTTGAAAGGAGGGGGCGGCAATTGCCCTCACTGCGGACCAGGACAGCGGCGAGGAAGGAGGCACGGGACCTGGTAACGAGGACTGCGCGTGTGCTGCAAAAGCGTCCGTGCCGGCTCGTGCCAGCAGCGCGTGTTGAAACGGTGGTCGAGTCATCGAACATGCGAGCCCACTTGTTGCTGGCATGGGCACGCCAAACAAGCCCTCGTGACACACAAGCCATCGACATCTTTGCGAGGTGCTGGGAGGTGAGCCACGGCCAAAAGTATATCCGCATTGGCCAGCGCGGTTGCAAAATGCGCTAGAGCAGGCACTTTTTTTTCTCCCCCACACCTTTTTCTTCGCGCCACTGTCTGCTTCACGGCTACAAGCTTTTCTGCGGCTCGCCATCCGAGCTTGTCTTGACTGATGCTGCAAGCAACCCCCGCAGCGTGCTACAGGCAGACGGCGGCGAGCAAGGTGATCCGCTTTTTTTTTTCCCCCCACACACCTTTTTACCAGCATCCCAGGCTAGAGGCGGTCCCAGTGCAGGCCCCGACCGGGCCGACTGCGCATTATTCAGGGCAGGCGGCTGGCAAAGAGCGGCTCCAAGGAGGAGTCTGCGAGGATGTCGTTCAGCAGCGGGGATTGGCTTATGCCGGCCCCATTTGCACTCGGTGTGGCGCCTTGCGTGCCATGCAAGCCGACCTCCTCCCCAACGAGAATGTGCGCGTGTTCCTCGACGACGCAAAGCTCAGGCCATGGCGCCCGGCATGTGGGACAACGCAACTCCCGGACATTAGCAACATTAGCAACCAGATGGGCGACAAAAACTCAAATGCAGTGCATGGCCACAGCCGGCCAAAGGAAAGGCATTTCCTGTCCAGGAATTCGCAAAGGCAGACTGGGCAGGCATCACAGGAAGGGCATGCCTGGGGTGAGGGCGCGTCACTGCTGAAGCCAGGGCGGCGTGGTAGGCGCACAGTGCCGGCGAGTAGTGGACATTGGGCGGCGAAGGAAGAGGAAGTCTCGCACTTGGTGCTGCTGGCGCGTATTCGGACGGGGTGTCCCACATGGGCGTTTCAAAGAATACGGGACCCGTAGGATCCTTATTATAAGGATCCCCAAATTAAGGTACCCCAATTTTCGGAAATTCCCACATGAAATCGAAGCCACGCCGGGGAAAAAGGAACCAACGCGCCTCGGGTCTTAAGCCAGGCGCCGGGGGGTCAAGGCAAAGGCTTTTGGTTTCCCGCACACCTTTTTACGTCCGCGCAACGTGTCCGATCACCGGCACCGACCTAGACGCCTACAGGGCACTAGCGAACCGGCAGCCGATTGGGGGCACTCGCTATCACGAGGTCCAACACGTCACCCAGCGGGAGCGCGTCTGGCGCACCAGGCAGCGGCGCGGAGCTGGCAACGGCAAGGACTACGAGTGGTTGAGGAGTTCTCCTCCTCGGGTCAACTCCGGGTAGCCGGCGACCTTGCGTCGGCGCGCTGCGACAAGCGTCGTTCCCGCCCGCGAGTCAGCACCCACCGGGGACGGGGCGGCCAGCGCAAGTCAGGGGGGAGACGAGGGTTGCGTCGCAGCACAAGGCTTCGCCGTTACTCGTTGCCCCGTAGACAACGAACTCGAGCGACGTGCATCATGGACTCCGAAGGAATTGCCGCGAGCCACATGCCCGCATGCGGACCGGACTGAGAGTGGAGGACGGCTAGGCCGGAAGTAGCATGCGTTCTCGAAACGAAATGTGGAGTGCGAGAACCGCATGTCGCTGCCAACCTGGGTTTCCTAGGCCGAGTTCGCCTTCAGCGGCCGGCACATCGGCGCCGCGCGCGCCAGACGCCCAATCCGATCTGTTTTTTTTTTGTCTGCTGGCGCGCAGGCATGGCGGCGCAGGTTCGCCCTGAAACTCCTGCACTAGCCGGGCTGCTGCGTCGGGGTGCCCACGCCGCCCAGTATGCTGCGGGTGATACCCGCTCCGCCAAGAGACCGAGGCCTCCCAGGCTCGGAGGCAAAAAAACGACCTGGCGAGCAGCAGTCCAGTCGTCGTGACCGCGAGCGTACGATAGGATGGCGGCTGGGGGCATTTCGGAGCAGGTGCATGGGTTTGTTTATCCTGGGTGCCTCTGTCCCAAAGGACCCATCTGTGCTGCAAGGCAGCGTGGCGGCCCTTTTGGCACCAGGACTTGTGTAATCGCCTGAATTTCTGAGCCTGCGGAAGTTCAGCCCCCATGACTGTGCGTCCATACCTTGCTCAAGAAAACTCGTGACGGGCTACAACGTCATTGCGTAGAAGGACCCGGGAGCAGTACGAGTTCAAAGAAGGCCCAAACAAAGTTAACGACAGTTGTGGTTGTCGGAGCTTGACAGCGTGAGCCAAAGCTTGTTGAGTTCAATGATTTCAATGCGCCGCTCGTCTGGCTGGTCGGGGGATGTCGGGGGCAACATTGAGGTCGCGCACGTCTCCATGCGAGAGTGGGGCTTTGAGGCATTTACACACCTGAGCCCTTGATTGGGACTTCTTGTATGGTCATGTGGACGACGACACCGCTGGTAAGAGTTGGTTCAGTCGTATGCTCGCGGAGATGGGCTACACTGATTCTTCCACTTGGCTTGATTCCCGGTGGTTGTAGGTCGCCTTGGAATTTAATGTGGGGTTGTTGCACCCGTCTTCAGCCCCAAATCTGTTCCAAACTTTAACAGGTAAGCTCTACCGTAAAGTCGTGGAGTTTTTCTCGGGCTTTTCGCACCAGGGCATGTGTGCGAACTGTCGCCCCGGCCTCCCTGCGCCTCGCGAGGGCAACATGCCTGAGTGCGGGCAAGCTGCAAGGTGGTCACTGCATGCATCACGCTGCTGGCGGCAGCGGCATATGGCCGCCGTGAGTGGGAGGGGCAGGCGCAGCCGCTCGGAACAATGGCGGCTGCAAGGTAAGCTCGGGTGAAGTTTTTTTTCCTCCCAGACCTTTTTACGATTTTTACCACTGCGAACGTCAGGGTCCCTGTGCAACACGCGGGCAGCCTATGTCATGTCTTCAGGATCCTTCAGGCAGGGCGGGCTGGGAGGCGGCTGGCGGGTGCCTGCAGCTAGCGTGCGTCAGCCAGCAGCTCGTGAAAAGCAGGCGGGTCACCAGCAGCACCGAGCTCAGCAGCGGGAGGAAGCTCAATGAGCGAAGTGGCCAAGGCGCGCTGCGCGGCAAGTGAGAGGATGCCACCCCAGCGGTGCACCCAAGCGGCCTGAGCAACGCGGCGCACAGCGGCACGTGCGCGGGCCGCTGGCCTGTGCGAGAAGTCGATTGAATGTCGCAGCTTCTTCACTCCAACGCCCACCTGTTTCAATGCCGAAAACGACAAAGTGGCAGCGGCGGGCACGGAGCATGTGCCGCCGCTTGCGCTGTCCCGCGCGGGCTAGCGCGACTTTTTTTTTGTTTTTCCCCACAACCTTTTCCGGCTGCACGAAAGTGTCTCAACTAGGCTGGTCTTACTACCTCCTCGGTCCCGGCTTAGGGCCGCAGAGGCAAGCGGCTAGGCCCTTCGTTGCCGGCGAGGTCGAGCACGCGGTCCAGTGCAGGGCCGTCTCTCGGCCCGGGCAGT